TCTGAGGGCAGCATCGGCAGGTCGGGGGTGCGTCTACTCGGCAGGCACGGTCTGGGCAGGGAGGTGAAACTGAACTCCCATGGAAAGCCTAGACGAGTGAAGCTTCCATCCACGAAACTGGGCCTGGCAAACTCCACCGGCAGCCAGGAGAGGCAGCAGGGAAGCTTGCCTTCTGCCAGCAGCTGCGAGACAAAGAAGAGACACCTGTGAAGCATGAGAGCACGAGCCTGTGGCACACACAGGTATGGAGTTCAGTTCACACCAGCAGTGCAGTGCGCAGACAAGCAGGAAATTGCCGTGCATGGACACTTCATGACCCGGGGAACATGGGACTCCCATGGAAAACAGTCCTGCTGAGGATGAACCTACAGTCAAAATGAAGTATGTTCGGAGAGATGACGGACGACGAGCCCTAGTATTTAAAGGACAAAGAAAGAAAAGGAAGAGGAATAGGCAGGTTTGAAAAAAGAATCAAATAGACATTCTAGAAATGGAAAAGAGTTATTGAACTATGTGAACACTATTGTGTGGGTTGAAAATTGTGAATAATGGCTTATATTTAGTATGGTTTCAGGGCCGTTGTTCTTTTAACCACAGAGAAAACTTTTCAGCCCACAGTTAGAAAAATGCTTACCCTGTAATTGTTCCCGAGTGTAAAACACAAACATGCAGGTTGAAACCGCAGTTGAAATCGGGATCCAGGTTTTAATGAAGGGAGAGCTCTAGGGCCCATCCTCCTGTGTACTGAAGATGCCTTGTTTGATGTTCTACATAAACGAAGATAAGATGCTGCAGACCCAGTGGGAACAGGCTGTGCTTCGGTTCTGCTTTTGTAGTCAAGATAGATGCTCACTAACCCACCCATAAAATATTTACTCCCCCTCCCCTCCCGACTCTCCCCTCCCACCACAAGTCAGTTCACAGATCACTGACTCAGTTAAGGGTATCTGTAGCCTGCAGCCTCGGACCACAGTGAGCTAACTGGCCGAAGCTAGCTTTCCCCTCATTCTCAAGGGACGCTAATGACCTAAACTAACCAACATTATCACTTTTACTAGAAAATACGTTGTGCAGCTGATTTTCCTTTCTTTTAAGACTTTGTAAGAAACTATCATCTCACTGTCAATTTATGGTGATATCATGATGGACTAAAATGTTAATATAGTTTGATTATTGGCCATTTGATAAATAGCTAGTTTTTTGTCCCTTCATATTTTTGAGTGAGCAGGAACTTTCTCTTCACTTCCTTGCTTAGTACATTACCTCACACAGCTCCAGGTACAAATAGCACATCAGTGCGTACTTTTTTATGCTGTATAATTATCTGAGAAGGTTTGCATAACAGTCTCTTTGTCTGTTTTAAACTCATCTTCCTTAAAATGAAGATTTAAAATTTAAGTCTTTCTTTTATAAAACCATTTAATAAAGACAAATAAAAACTCAAATGTCATCATTGCTGAGAAGCCTTCTCTTTTACCCATATTAGAAGTGCCCCCCCCCCGCCCCGTGCTCTTAGCAGTCTGTGGGCATCCAGCATAAAACTGACCACACCATCTCATGTGCTCTAAGTGTCTGCTTATGTATCACCCATTCTTGGTCCTGAGTTCCTTCAGGGGGGGTCTTTCTCCCAGTTTTTCTCACTCATATATAGAAGGCCCCTCAGCATTTGTTGAGTGAATGACTGAACACTTGAAATAACCAAGTTATTCTGGTACCACTATGCATTAGAGCCCAGTGACCTTCTGGTGGTTCCTATCAGTTCTATTCACATGAATTAGCTGCAGTCCAGACATTTTTTGACCTTAGAGACAAAAGCTTTTGTTAGCATTTAGTCGTTGAGATTTGAGCATCTAGAAACCTTTTAGCCATTTTCAAGAGCTAAAGAGTGTACAAAAATAAGAGACTTGAACTAAGGGCAATAAAAAGGTACAAAATAATTGGATAATTCTGCTTTTTCTAAATTAACCTTCTTTTACTCTGTCATCGGGTGGGGAGGAAAGGTGTTGAGAAGCCCAGAAAACTGCATCAGACAAGAATATATTTCCCCTTCCTTGTTCTGCTATCCTAGAGGGAATTTTATATCCTTTTCCTAAAGCACACGTACTCGAGAGAGCTGAGGAAACAAGGATCAACCGTCTCCACACGACTAAGGACGTTATATTCCTAACGTGTAACCATTTAGGGGATAATAGCTTATTCCACTGAAAATATTAAATTGCAGAAGGAAGGAAAGGGTAGAATTTATAAGTGGCAAAGAGGAAACAAAGTAAGTTGAAGGTCTTTTTAAGATTAAGGTAATAACTCAGACTGGAGTTGGAACTAAACAGGTAAGTAAGATACACTTGCAAGCGGAAAGATGAGACGGTTCTTCAAGTCTTGCTAAAGCTTGCATGGAAACTTAAGATATATTCCTAGAACGAGTTTAGCTCAGTCTTCTTAAGATATAATTTATCAGAACACCTTCTGATCCATTTGAAATAAATCTCAGCCTGTTAATTCCTGTTTTGATTTTTCAATAAAACCTCTTTCCCCAAAAACAAGTCTGTTGAAGGTAAAATAATTTTCAAGGTCAGAAGTTTCAAAAGAAGTTGGACTACATGCCTACATTAGGAATTGTTTTCACCCTAACGGTCCTCCTGCATTTTAATTTCTGTGATTGACCACTGGGTCCTGTTTCATTTTCAGTAGAAGAGCATTTAGCCCGTTTGAAATATTATATTTAAAACCAATATAAAATGTTCATTTTATCATATATTTTATTTGAAATGTGATAGAAATTTAGTGTTTATTTTTTATTCAAGAACTATGACAAATATTCACTTAAAATGTAATTGTCGGGGCCGGCCCGGTGGCGCAAGCGGTTAAGTGCGCGCGCTCTGCTGCGGCAGCCTGGGGGTCGCAGGTTCGGATCCCTGGCGCGCACCGACGCACTGCTTGTCAAGCTATGCTGTGGCGGCGTCCCATATAAAGTGGAGGAAGATGGGCATGGATGTTAGCCCAGGGCCGGTCTTCCTCAGCAAAAAGAGGAGGATTGGCATCGGATGTTAGCTCAGGGCTGGTTTTCCTCATTAAAAAAAAAAAATGTGATTGCCAAGAAGTTAAAAACATTTGAACTCTTATTAGGGAAAAAGAATGTAGTAAATGATACAGAACTAGTTCAAATGCTGAGGGGTTTTGTTTTGGTTTTGTAGCTTATTGTTATTTTAAAGCACATGTAGAAATTCTTCTGTAAACACACTTTGGTGAATTTATGCCAATAATTTTGGTCAACGAAATTACCACTTTTCTCTGCTTATACCAGGTTGTTGGCGTAGCCCAGGCCATCAACAAGAAATCGGGCAATGGTGGGACATTCACTGAAAAGGATGAAAAGGTACCCAAACTTGTGTCTGGTATGATGTCAGTTTAGGAAGATGCTTTCTCTTTATAGTGTATAGACCTCTAGAATTAGCTGTTGCTGAAATTGTTGATTACAAAAAACATGATAGTTTAAGTGATATGAAATGTTCCAAAGTGTCTCTTTCCTATGGCTCAATACAGTGCTGACCTGACTTTGGAGGACCTGTGGCATTCAGTCAGCAGAAACCCCCCCAACCCCCTGCTCGCTGTGCTGCCAAGCCTCCCCCAGGGCTGTGTGCCTGTTAGGGACATAAGCGGGTGCCATGGTATTTTAAGTATCTCATTTACCTTTCATCACCACTATAAAGAAATTCAACCTTGAGTAAAACCCCTAAACACGGCTCCAAGTTCAGCACTCCAGGTCAGCTAAAAATTGGAATTGCCTCCTGGTGAAATTTCAGAATGTTTTATAAGCTTTGCACACAGACGGTGGGGCGCCAAGGTGTGAATTCGGGCTGGATGATGTGAATTTAGCTTTAGAAAGAACGGCAGTCAGCATTATTTTATTACTCCTCTCATCCAACTCTGAAGGAATACATTCCACACCGCACCACATCAACATGCTTTCCATTTAAGGACGGAAGCCCTTAAACCTGTTTATAACTTCATTCTGTCAGTAGGTTTTATTATTTCTCTTCTTGAATATGCAGTTATATGCATATCATGGAGCCCACTGAATTCTTCCTATTCAAGCCCATTGCTATTTATGTCACTCCCCTGAAAAGTAGTAGGTGCCTTTGGAAGACATTCAGACAAGACAGAGTTATTTTTGTCTCCATGCTGTAGGCTGTATTGGCACGTGTGTGGTCCCCAGGTCTTAATTGCTTCAGAACATAGCAAGTACCTTTTTAAATCAGTGTAATAGACATACAGTCTCCTCTTCTGTTAATGACACCTGAGAACATTTGGTAGGGAACATGGTTCTAGATTGGCTTTATATTCCATTATTTGTTTACAGTCCATTAATGTAAACCCCTCTTGAAAGATGTGCATTCTTAGGCTGTATCATCTCTTGGCAAAATAAATCCATGATTGTGAACACAGTATACCATGTAAAGATTTATGTTAATCAATAATATAATTGTGAACGTATCACCCTAGTACAGTATAATGATGATAGATCCATGTTAAAAAGAACATATTTAAACTCATATTTGCAACTTTATATGGGACTGTTATTGCCAATATTCTCTTAACAAGTATGTGAGCTTTCGTTTGCCCCAGTAATAAGTTATAAACTATTTATATAGTCGGCAGAGATCCAAGTCTTATTATCATTCAGAGACTACAACAGATTTTACATAGAGCCAGTTTCAATTTCAAATGATATAAAGAGATCTGTGTCCCTCCCCTCTTTCTCTTTGTTAATTTATAACTAATGCATGACTTGAGGAGATTATATTAACACTTGTCACCTACTACTTGTGCCATTCAGCTAACACTTGCATTGCATCAGGTGCTAATTTTATGCAGAATAAACATCTACACTTTTGGCTTTCTCCTATTTATTTCAACTGTAAATGTTTTTTGATGCCTTTTGTTTTTTCAGGCAATGTAACAGGACAGTTTTCTAGACAATTCTTATTTGGCTGTTGTCTTACCTGTTTTCTAGGACTTTGCTGCGTATTTGGCATTTTGTGGTATTGTTCTTCATAATGCTCAACTCTATGAGACTTCACTGCTGGAGAACAAGAGAAATCAGGCAAGTGTGATTACTAAAGAGAGTATAGGAATTCTTTTTTAAAAAATTGTTAAATTTTTATCCAAGTAATATATGCATATGACTAAAAATCCAAATAGTACAGATTTAAGTTTCCAAATATTTTGGCTGTTTCTACTAATAGTTATTTCCATTTCCTATTTTCCATGTTCTGTTGCTTTTTCCCTGTTAGACAATATTCATTAACTTGACAGATGAGGACTTATTTGACTTAGACCACCTCTGCTTGCCATTACCCTGATCCGACCAGTATCATTATGTCGCTGTTTTAAGTTACTGGATGGGTTGCATTTGTAATGTTAAATAAGGCTTTTAGTTCTTGCTCTGTCAACTAGAGACATCATTTCTTGATCCCATGCTTTATAAGATGAGGATCTTAGCATCTCTCATCTTTCCTTCCCAGCTACCACTCCTTACCTCTGCTTTTCCCATCTTGACTTTTTATATTTCTCATGTTGATAACATATATATTGTTCTACAACCAGGATTGACTTTTCTTAAGCTTTGTCTAGGTTAATTCTAAAGTTGTAATTTAAAATAAAGTGTTTATAAGTATTATGACTACATAAATGTTGTTCATATTACCTTTGTTATATAACTTGTAGTTTTTCTTGATATTTCTGAATTCCATTCTTTTTTTCCTTGAACTTCTTGCTCTAGTGTACCTTCATGTTGTTGGTTTTTCTCCCCAAACTCCCCATTTCTTACAGCATTCTGTTGCTTGCTTCTTTTTCTTGGAGATCTCCAAATTGAGGTTTTCCATCTTTCCTCTTCCAAGTGTCAACCTTAAAAATAAAACAACCAGTTATTTTACCAGTGAAACAAGTTTATTCAGGAATAGCCAAAGAATTCCAATTCAGCATATGCATGCTATGGCAGACCATAGGCAAATCCGACAATCAAAGGAGAGGCATGTTATTTTATAGGGAAAAAGGAGGATATTGGGAGGGGTTGTTTTGAAGGAAAGTCCGTTGGAGAAAAGCAAGAGTTCAGGGTGGTGATGGTTTTTCATTGGCTGAGTTGCTAGGGTAATGATTTCTGTTTGGGATGCAATGTATTCTTCTTCCTGTAATTGACAATTCTTTCCTATTTAGTACTTTCTATTGGGGTCTGTAATTGACTATCTTTCCTATAATTGACCTGGTGTGGTACTGCGTGGGAACTCCCTGCTTCTGGCCTCCTGACTCCATTTTAAATGAGATTTCCCTTTATTAATTTTCACACAAGCTAAACTATTTCTCCTCATGCCTGCTGTACAGGTGTCATCATAGAACTCTCCTTCACTGCTTTCTTAGAAAGACTCCACTGGATCCCATAGCTCCTTCTTTATCAGTTTACTTCCTTGTTTTATTGCAGCATATTCTCAATTAACTACTTGAGAAAGAATATTGGTGAGTAAGCTTTCTGAGTTCTTGAATGTATGAAAATGTCTACTGTATCATCCTACCAGTTTGGCTGGGTATAAAATTCTAAATTGAGGGGCCGGCCCTGTGGCTTAGCGGTTACGTGCGCACGCTCTGCGACTGGTGGCCCGGGTTCGGATCCTGGGCGCGCACTGACACACTGCTTGTCCGGCCATGCTGAGGCAGCGTCCCACATTGAGCAACTAGAATTATGTGCAACTATGACATACAACTATCTGCCGGGGCTTTGGGGAGAAAAAGGGAAGAAAAGGAGAAAGATTGGCAATAGATGTTAGCTCAGGGCCAGTCTTCCTCAGCCAAAAGAGGAGGATTGGCATGGATGTTAGCTCAGTGCTGATCTTCCTCACAAAAAAAATTCTAAATTGAAAAATCATTTTCTCAGAATTTAAAGGTAGTACTTTGTCTTCTAACTAGCATCCATGTTATTGTGATTCTTGGCTCTTTGTAGATTTTTTTTTTTCTTTTGTCTATAAGCTTTTCAAATGATTTCCTTATCTGCTTTTGTAACTTAATTTCACAATATGACTCTTTTTTCATTCATCAGGCTGGTACCTGGTCATCCCTTTCAGTCTGGAGACTTAAGCCCTTCAGTTTTATGTAATTCTTTTTCATTATTTCTTTGATAATTTGTCTCCCCTACCCTTTTTTTTCTCTTTTTAGAACTTGTTTTAATAAGTTATTGGACTTTCCATTGCCTTCAACTGCAGTCTCTTCCTAACTGTTCTCTCTGCTGCATTCTTGCCACCCTGTGATTCCAGTCCCCATTTTTATGAACCCAGCTGTGATCTTGTCACTTCCTTCCTGCAATTCATAATGGTCCATACTGCTTCAAAAGACATACAGGGCTTTTGGGGTTCTTTCTCTGCTCAACTCTGCAGTGTCATCTCCCCAGTTCTCTTTACTCTCTATATTCTCATAAAACTTGATCAAAACTTGCAGTATGCTACGTTCTCTCAATTCAGTTCTTTTTGACTGAACTATTTACCTTCCCCACTTCACCTTCCACTTCATCTTTCAGGCCTCAGCTAGGATAGTATCACCTCCAATAAACTTTCTGTAACACCCTTAGTCCCCCTTCATCACACAAATACCTTGTGAGATTAGAAGAAATTCTATGGAATTCAAAGGAAAGAGAAATTACCAGGCAAAACACAAAAGGAACTCTTAAACCTTGGTTTACTTTGGACAATATTTACTGTGCTCTGTGAAAATGTTGATAATGTTGATCTCAGAAGTTTGGAATAACAACAACAGTGTGTTTTATGTATCAGATACTGTTCAGAATGCTTCCTAATGTTAATTTATTTAGTCCTCACAACAGCCCTTTGATTTTGGTACTACTGTTTGTTTTCCCCCTTTTCAAGAAACTTGCCCTAGATCACAAAGCTAGCAGGAAGCGAGTTACGATTAAAACTGATGACTCTGGCTTCAGAGTCTGTGATCATAACCACTATACTAACTGTACAACAATCAACAGGGAAGTTTTGTTAGTAAGCAGAGATTTATATATTTAATACTTGAACACAAACTTGGTTGTAACTTGTTAGATGATATATAAGCAACTTATAACCCATATAAATTACTGTATTACTTTAATAATTACAAACAAGTACTAAATAATAAGCTCTTAATTTTTTTGTCTAGGTGCTGCTTGACCTTGCTAGCTTAATTTTTGAAGAACAACAGTCGTTAGAAGTAATTCTAAAGAAAATAGCTGCCACTATTATCTCTTTCATGCAGGTGCAGAAATGCACCATTTTCATAGTGGATGAAGATTGCTCCGTGAGTACAGAGTATGACTTTTTTATTTTTAGAAAGATAGAAACTTATGTTTCTTAAAGCACTGCTTGTAAACCTCATGTTAGCCTCAGAACTCTCGCTCAAACCCAACTATATATGGTTGTTTATGTAAAGCTGATCAGAGTTTGAGCTGTTCTGGTTGAGAAGGGGTAGAGGTGAGGTTGCAGGATGCCTTGAATGCATGCTTTCACCTGTGTGCCCCTCCACTGAGTAGTTACCATGGGAACGTCTGCTTTTGTCAATGGCTATACGACCTTAATGGAGAAATACTTTGTCATTACAGTGTGCACACCTTTATGGTCAGGAATAGTGTTGCCCTGGTTGCTGTGAACAGGTTGACCCCTGCTTCTGAAAGGGCTCGGTCCCCAAATTTTTTTTTAACCAGAAATTATTTATAAACCAAAAGGCATGGCCCAGTAAAGGCAATGTTATTAAAGGTGCTTATCAGTCCCAAGTTCTTTACCAACAATGGAAAACTGTTCTTATTGGTAGATTTCAATCCATTGATTTGTAAGGTAAAGAAACAGATGTGTGCAGAAAGATGGAGCGTTCTCATAGAGTGCTAGCTACTTCTAAACAGCCCAGCTGAGTTTGCTGTTAGAATCAGGCCCCTAGCCTAAGGCAGTTTTCCTTTATGCACTTTCTTTCCTTCTCAACCTGTGAACCACTGCATTTGGGATATTTCTTTTTGGTGCAGTTGTTTTTCTTTTCCTTTAGACGCTGAGAATAGGCTCTTCATTGGTGAGTTAGGAAAAGAGAGTGGGGATTACCACTTGCATAGGTCAGCTATAATCCATATATGATATCTGAATTGATATTTTTAGGGAAGTAGAATAATAAAAGATATTTAATACTTAACATATTAAAAAATTTTGTTTTGGATAGTAAGAGTATACTGTATGACTCAGCATTATCTGAATCATTTTGTGTGTGTGTGTAATTCTTATTAATAGCATATCAAATGAGAATTCACTGTGCTGTAAGATAATCAGTATTCTCATAGATATTATTTCATTTTTCAATCAGTTATAAAATTCTTAATATAGAGATGATTACAAGATAGTAGCTATCCTTTTAAAGTTCAGGTCAGAACTTGTTAATGCGGTATGTCAATTTATTATTATTATTATTATTTTTTGTGTGAGGAGATAGCTCTGTGCTAACATCTGCCAATCCTCCTCTTTTTGCTGAGGAAGACTGGCCCTGGGCTAACATCCGTGCTCATCTTCCTCTACTTTATATGGGACGCCACCACAGCATGGCTTGCCAAGCAGTGCGTCGGTGTGCGCCCGGGGTTCCGAACTGGCGAAGCCCGGACCACAGCGGAGCATGCGCACTTAACCACTTATGCCACCGGGCCAGCCCCTGTCAATTTATTATTTCTTCTCTGTGACCTGCTCTTTAGCATTTAATTTTTGAAGTTATATGTAAGGCACTCCTTTTTTAGACAACTTAAATATCACTTTAATTAACATTCAGCTCATGCTTCTACCTATCATAGCAGCAAATGTCTTGAATCAGTGGTGCTTTGAAGTATAGCTTGGCATTATGACAATTAATGTATTTTGCTCAGTTTTAACAACTTAATTTGTTGGTTTTAGGAATTAAGTGACTTGATGTTTATTTATATTATAATTATTTTTTGATTAAAAATATTCCAACAACATAAGCAAAAATCCAAATGTAAGCAAGAAAAAACATGTACTCAGTTTTCTATCCCCAAATTAAACTAATATCATTGTTTTATTTCTGTTTCCTTCCATTTCATTATTCAGTTGTGTTCTGCTTTTCATGTAACTTCAAAAGTACTTTTCTATGTTGCTAAAATCTTCACAATTATTTTAATGATCTCATAAAATATTATTGAATCATATGTCTTTTAAAAAAGATCTAACAACAATAATCAGTGTATACTTAAAAGCTAAAACTTGAGGATTTCGAATAAATATAGAGAAAGTTTGAAGCTAACATATTCATTAACACCTGGTAGAAAAACAAAAGCAAATAGTACTGAGATAAGCATTTTTGCAAGAAAATATCAGAAACACTAGCAACATGGCTTTCGATAATGGGAAGGACGTTTGAGGATGTCAAGAAGTGAGTACTGGGGTCAGTTGGAGAGTGAGTTAAAAAATATCACAAGTGTTAGTATCTTCAGTCAGTTCCCCAGACCCGTATGTCTGTGTCTAGATAGTTTTCATTACGTTGTCAAACTATATCTCAGTCTGTGTTGTCACTCTGTTTTCAGGATTCTTTTTCTAGTGTGTTTCACATGGAGTGTGAGGAATTAGAAAAATCATCCGATACTTTAACAAGGTAAAATACTTATTCTCTGTCTTTATCACAGGTATATAATACTGGCTAAATAGTTATTTCATGATCTGTTTAGTTTAGGACATAGAAGCTACAAACTGCTCTCTTCCCCCACAAATAATTTTATTTGTGAAAATATTTTTCTATT